CTCCAGTCCTTGGGCAGGAACCAGGAGAGGTGTCCTCTTCGTCACACCCTGCCCAGAAAGGTCTGACAGCCTAAAAAACATTGCAGGGAGCCAAAAAATGTGGGGCCTGTGATGACATGGGACATGACAAGTGGGTGGCACCTGTGGAAACTCACTGACACACAGCTCAGCAAGGAGAAGATTTGCTGGTGGTTTCAGAAGAGCCAGTCCTGCTGCTGGGAGTCAGCAGGGATGGAAAGCTGAGAAAAACTCAGCTAGGAGATGGTGCTTGCACTTGGAAAAGGCGGTGTGGATTTTCTGAGCTGCCAGCCCTGCTCACACCTCTTGGAGATGTGGGCTGGATTACTCAGCCATAGAACTGCTGGCAAGTGAAGCAAAAAAATTGAAGTTCAGACCAGGATGGAGCAAGGGATCTCAGTGGATTTGGGATGCAGCTGCTCCGGGTGCAGTAAGTGAAATACTTTTGCAAAAGTCCGTAGAAAAAAGCAACAAAGCCTAAATATCTGGGATGGGAAAGCAGGTGTTGGATGTGCTCCTCACACCCAGCATGGAGTGCTGGGAAAAAGCACTGGAGAAGGACTGGAGAGCTCATCCTCATGAGCTGGCCACGTGTGCTTGAGGCAGTGGGATGCTGGAAGCTCTTTAAAGGGTTGGAGGAGAAAACTCCCAGAAAGCTGTAAGTCATTGGCTGTCTACCATCACATATACACAAAATATAACATGGGAAAATATTGTTAATAGGCTCGATGACAGAAAGCAGGTGAGACAAGCCCTTGCATGCATGTTGGCTCGCACAGTATCTGCCAAGGGTTGCCCAATACCTTTGCATTCCAAGCAGGAATTTATTTAAGTGTCCACAGCTCCCAGGACAGCTGATAGGGATAAAAATGAAGCAGATGTCTGAGACAGGCCTTAAATGAGCGTGGCCCTACAAAACATAGGATGTCTTAGTATCAAATAATCAGTTGCCCAAAAGGGAAAAAAAAAGGTTTAAAGTAATATAAAAAGGCAGGAAAGTGGCTGAGGTGGGATCCCACTCCAGCAGAGGAGCTGCCAGGAGGAAGAAGTCTGGCTCTGTAAAATTCCTGTTACTAAACAATGGTGCTGGGAAGGTCGGTGACACGGGGGAGGTAGGGCTAATAATAACAAATACCGTTAGAGTTATACCTTACATAGAGAAAACTGCACTGGAACTGGCTTTCCAAGAGCCCAGCAAAAAGCTTTTGTTTAATTTATGGGGCTCAGGCTATTTTTAGCTGGCAGATCCTTGGGGTTTTATCTGGGATCGCTGCTCTGAGCCAGCAGCTGGAACATTTTAATTGTTTGCTCTGGATTTAGGGTGGTTTTTTGTTTTTTTTTCTTTTCTAAAGGGAGAAAGAGGAAAGCAGGTGCTGGGGCCTGACCTTGCTGGTCTTCACATTTCCTTGGCAGCATCTTCCAGAGCGGGGAGGGGGAGTGGGTCTTGCAGCAGCTCTCTGCCTCCTGGGAGACTTTTTGGGGTGGTGCTGGGGGGTCATGAGTTGGAACCCCTATCCTCCAGCCCAGCCAGGATCCTGCACTCACGCCCAGCCCCTGCCAAAGGCCAGCAGCCAGCAGGTGAGAGAGTGGCAGGGGGACACCGTGTCTCCCCATCTTCTGGTTGCCATGCAGGTCTAAAAATAGCCTGGGCAGCGCAACAAGGAGGAGCATCCCCTTCTTCCAGGAAAGCCAGGAGCACTCCGGGCCGGCGTGCGGCGGTGCTTTATTTGTCAGGAAAGCCCTTTGGTATCTGCCTGGAGCGTGGATGTGAGAGGAGCCATCTGCTCGGGGACAGGAGGTGTTTACACCAGCCCGGGCAGAGACGCCCTGTGCGGAGCCTCGTCCCTGCTGGCACCCGCCCTGCTCGGAGCTTGGCCCCGGTGAGGAAGGCAGACGTCTCTGTTTATGAAAACACCGGCTCCTCCGCCCTGGGAGCTCCCGCGGCAGCTCACAAATCCATCCTGGCTGCTGGGAGCTGGCAGGGGGGGTGACAGCGGGACTGCCACGTGCTGGGCCGGTGTCCCTGCAGGCAGGGCACCGGGAATGCTGGCAGCCTCTCCAGAGCCGTGCCCCAGGGCTGAGCACAGCCAGGGCACCAGCGTGGGCAGGGCTGGAGGGGCTGCTGGCTGCACCCATGGCAGAGCCACTGGCCCTGCAGGGCACACCATGGCACCAGAGGGTGTTTTGGGGTTACCTGTTCCTGTGCTCAGGGCTGCTGCAGGCACCTCTCCCTGCGCTCGTGTGAAGGTGTTGGTGAGTTGATGAGACAGAAAGGAGGAAATTAAAAGCAAAGCAACACACCTCAGCCTTGAATATGTTCCCAGGAGAGGGTGAAGTACTCCGAGACCCCCATCTGCCTGCACTGACCCAAGAGGATGAGGGATTGGCATTAAAGGGAAAACTTTAAAAAGTTTTTCTGAAGAACAGCAAAAAAGCACAAGTTTTCAACCTTACTTACTCCCTGCTGTTTTTTTTTTTTTCATTTTTGTCTCCCTACAGAGTAATTCTATTTCATTTGGATCCTGCTGATACAAATAACCACAGGTTTTGGGCTGAAGCATCAGCAGTCACCTCTTTCCATTGCTGGCCAGCATGGCAAGCTAATTTTAACCTCCCAAGCTCCCTCCCATCTCCTGGAGGTTGTCCTGTTGCAGCCAGGGAGTGCTAGAAAATAGTGCATCGCCCACTCATCCAGCCTCCTTCAAGGGAAATATTTATATGATGCCAAAGAGAGGGTTTCCATGGCAGTGATGACTCTAGCACCGTCGCCTTGGAAACCACTTGAGGCCATCTTGAAGGGTTTGAAAATCCCCTTCAGAGACAAATAAGGAGAGGGAGAGGAAAGGCCACGGGGATCCGAGTGGCATTCTGGTCTCCCCTGACTTTGCTGTCAGCTCCTTGCCTGGCTCCCCGCCCATGCCACTGGCATGATTTGTAGTCCAGGTGTCGCTTCAGGGATAGAGCCAGGACAAAGGAATGAAGTGCTTTGCAAACAGAAATGGTTCATTGGTGCTTCCTCCCGCTTCCCAAAGCATCCGGCAGTGACTCTGGTGTCAGGGCACTGCTCAGCCCCAGAGGGGATTCAGGGAGACTCCCCTGTGCCAGCAAACACCAGGGTGATTATTCGTGCCCGCCCAGCTTCAAGCACCAGCTGCTTTTGGAGCAGCAAATGCACAGGTCCCATGCTTTTGACAGCCCAAGTCCCCATCACACACGTGAAGAGCCGCGTGTTTCTTCTGAGGAGCTGCCAAATGTGAACCACAGGCAGGAGACGGCTGCCGGCAGCAGAGCGCTCGCCTGTGGTGGCGGGAGGAACGCACCTCTGTGTCACACAGAGCCCAGCTCAGCCCCCGCATCCCGTGCTGCAGCTCCCGCATCCCGTGCTGCAGCTCCCGCAACCCGTGCTGCAGCCGAGCGAGCTCCTCTGGCCACTCCTGCCCCCAGCCTGCAGGAGCTCTGGCAGCGGCAGCCAGTCCATCTGGCTCTGAAGGACACCAAGAACGCGGCAAGGAGAGCAAAGCGAGCTGAGCAGATGGATGGTGAGCTCCATGATGCAGCTGGGGTGGCCAGTGTCACTCTTTGTTCAAGATATGGGATTGCTTTCTTTGGGGATTTGCTGAAAAATATTAGTTATCTTCTTCATTTTGTTTAGGGCAATCTAAAATATTCTCTTCTTGCTCTATGCCGAGGTGTCAGTGACTCTCCAAGGCAGAGCTCTTCCCTGGTGCCCACGCTTTGCTCTGCAGAGCTGCCTCCCACCCCCAGCTACCTTCACAGCACCCCTCATCCCCCACCTGCCCTCCAAAACCCAGCCAGCTTTCCCAGAGAAACACCCGTGCAGTGTTTATTCCTCAGCCTAAACCCGAGGGAGGGTCTGGCCACTGTGCCAGTACCAGGGTAACTCACATCTCTGCATCCCACTGCTTGTGCCAGGCTCCTGCCTGTGCCTCGAGGGGGCATCTGGGGGTGCCAGGGGAGTGCCCAGGTCACTCTTGACCTGCAGCACGTGAAAATCCTCACTTATATTGATGCAGCTCCTCATGTCTTGAATGTTGAAGCGCATGGGTGTGAGGCCAGGGGTGTTTGGCTTTGCCCAGGAGGGAGCTCCTAGCACACTGTGTGTCATAAAACTCATGCCTGGCCAGTGCTGACCCAGGTGCCAGGTTGGGATGCAAAGCTTGGAATTACAAAGTGTAAATATTTATTATTGGTGTGAGATGTCCCAGCCAAATCAGGGCACCCAGGAGGGATTTTTTAATGAGGTTCTTATGTCCATCACATGCTCAGGTACAGCAAAATTGACTGAGCACTGACACCCACACTAACAGATCTCAAATCACAGTAAAACTTGGCAAAGCCGCTGTGTTTCTGCTCATCCACAGATCCAGGTGTCCTTGAGTCCCTCTGGCTGCTGTGACTGAGCTGTGACACCAGACGAGCCTGGGATGCTGTGGTACCTTGGTCATCCCAGGGATAAAGCCACTCTTTATCTCTCAGGGACTGCTCTAAGCCCCCAAAAGCAAAATCCTCTCCAGGGCTGGGCTGTTTATTTTACTTCAGCACGAACAATACCAAAGTCTTCAATAAAACCACTAACCCATCACATCGCGGTGTGTCATGAGAACTAATATTTATTTTACCATTAACGTGCTTCCGTGCTGTAAAGCTTGATGAACCGGTGCGGGAAGGGATGCGGGACCCTTTGGGGTGGGTTTGTGCAGGGGCAGGCGGTGATTCTCTTGGGAAAATTAACCCTGGAGGTTGTGTAAAGGCCGCTCCCCTCTCCCTCCTCCTGCTCCCGCGGGGGTCTGGCCCCCTTCTGCGGGCGGCAGCGGGGTCCCGGTGAGGGCAGGCGGGGGGTCCCCGGTGAGGGCAGGCGGGTCCCGGTGAGGGCAGACAGGTCTCCGGTGAAGGCAGGCGGGGGATCCCCGGTGAGGGCAGGCAGGGTGTCCCCGGTGAGGACAGGCGGGGGATCCCCGGTGAGGACAGGCGGGGTTCGCCAGGCCCGGGGGTCTCTCTGCGCGCTCCAGCCGCTCCACCCGCCGCCCCCAGCCGCTGCAGCCCCGCGGGGCCGCCCCCGGCCCGCCCCCGGCCGGCCCTACATAGCGGCGGTGCCGCCCCCGGCGCGTCCCGGCCCCGCTCCGCCATGGCCCCGGCGCTCCGGCTCTGCGTCCTGGCCCTGGCCCTGCTGCCCGCCGCCGTCGCCGCGCAGGAGGTGGCCGGAGGTAAGCGCTGACCGCGGCCCCGCCGTGGCTGGCCGGCGCTCCGCGCACTGCACCCCAAAATCCCGGCCGGGCAGTTGCTTTGGACCCCGTTTCTGTGGGGTGTCCGGTGCGGGCACTCCGAGTGGGCAGTGAGGGCTGGGAGGGAAGGCCGTGTCCCTCGCTGGCAGTTCCGCAGGTGGGATCCCGTGCAGCCCGCTGTGTCCCTTCGAGGTCGGGAAAGTTGCGTGGGTGCTGGAAGTGGAGCTTTGCTCGCCTCTTTTCCGGCGTCCACTGCAATGGAACTTCCATGCCCAGGGGAGCTGTGGCTGCCCCATCCCTGGAAGTGTCCAAGGCCGGGTTGGACGGGGCTTGGAGCAACCTGGATTAGTGGAAGGTGTCCCTGCCCATAGTGAGGAGAGTGGGACAAGATGAGCTTAAAGCCCTTCCTACACAAACCATTCTATGATTCCATGATTTAGTGATGATAACAGCTCAGGTGAGAGAGCTGCTTACCTTCCCTGGCCAGGGGCAGTTACTGGGCAGCCAGGCTCCTGCTGATGGCCCTGTGGAGGGTGGGGAGAGTGACTGGGGCAGCCCCAGACCCGGAAGAAGACAGGTGTTGTTGGCTATGGATGGGTGTCCAGCTGCTCCTCCTTAGTGTCTGGGGGATGGAGCAGAGCCCCCAGAGGTCTGCACTAGGTGGAGTAGAAGAAGCTGGGTGGGGATGACTGCCTTCAGAGTGTCCTGAGAAGTCTGCCCCCTCTTCCAAGCCAGGAGCTGTTCTCCATTCACTTCACTCCTCCTGTAGCCAGCTGTCAAAAGCATTACCCAGGTGGCTTCTAGCACAGCAGGAGCTGCTGTCGTGTCTCTGTCCCTGAGGAGTGCAGTGCTTCCTGTGCCATGCCTTGTGAGCTGTCTGGCCACCTGAGATGGGACATTTGGACAAACCAAATCCTGAAGGGCTGTGGTGTCCTCGAAGCAGCCCATTCCCAAACGGCTCTAGGTGGGTGGCTTTGACTGAATGACTTGGAGGATGATCCCCAGCTAGGGATGCAGGAAAGCAAAGCCCAGTTAAAACCACAGGCTCTACTTTTGCCCACCACTGGCCTCCTGTGGTGTGGGAGGGTGTTTTGTGACTCCTAGTAAAGAACAGTCCTGGAGCAGCAGAGGCAACGCTGTGCTTTTCCAGCCTCAGTTGAAGAAATGGGGAAGACGCAGCTTCAGAGTGTTTAAAATCTGCAATCTCAGCCTCTCTGGTGTGTAAACACCCTTATCTGAGCTATGTTAATCAATTGCCCAGTTGTTTGGAAGGCTATACAGAGCATGTGACTGCTGACAGTGGGTCATAGCTGAGGGTTCCTGCCAGCTGGAGGGAGAAAATCCAGCTTTGCTGATTGTGAGAGTGGAAAACAAGCACCTCTGGGATTGATTTTTTCCTGATTACGACACTGCAAAGCAATGATCCTTCATCCAGCAGTGAGTGGTCAGGCAAATTGATTTGAGTTTTCCTTTTAAACCACTGTCAAATAGGCTGCTTAGACTCTTAAGCAGGAGTCAGTTTTAAATGGCTCATTCTTGAGGACTTGGCAAACCACCCTTCCTGCAGATCCAGGGAAGCACACCAATGAATTGCAGGTGAATATCCTGTAGAAAGACATTTTCCAGGAGCACTGCTGGGAGCTGTAGCTCAGCTCAGAGTGGGGGCTGGACTGGGCGTCACCCAGCCACTGCTTGCCCTCATCCTCATAGGGTCCCTCCAGACCGACTCTAGCTGTGTGCCCTGGCTGCCCTACTGCCACAGCAGATTCTCAGGCTTTTAGGGAAATAAAACCCAAGCGAGGAACTCGCAGCTTAGGGCTTTGTCAGCAGAGCAAGGCAGAACTTGCCTTGCATTTGGGCTTCCCACCATGACATGGAGCACGTGCTGAAGCTGGTGGCTCTTGCAGCAGCAGCATGCACTGCTGCTGGCCCAGTGGTGGGTAGGAGCAGGCTTGGAGGAGCCCAGAGTTTTAAACCACTGAAGCTCTTCAAAGTCCTGAGGTGTCTTGTTTTCTTCCTGCAGATTGTCGCCAGTATACGAACAGGAGCTGTGAAGAATGCCTGAAAAATGTCACTGTGAGTAGCAGCAGTGAGGCTCCCAGCCTCTCACCATGCTGAAAAAGTTTCCTTCCTGGAAGCAGGGCTGGTCCCCTGCCCTTGTCCCAGACATGCTGCAAATTCCACCCACCTATGAGGGTGAGAGGGCAATCCCTCTCTGGTGCTCTGGAAGGAGGTTGCTAGAAACTGGGTGGGTTTTGTTGTGTGCTTTTTGATTAGAGTAATGGAATTGCTGAGCTGCTTCCTGATGGATGGACGATGTGCTTGGAGAAGGGACTGAGTGGGCTGGGCTGGCTGGTCAAGTTCCCCTCCAGCAGCTGGGCCGTGGCACTGGGTGGGCGCAGGATGTGTGCTGGTGTCCTGCCAGTCCCTGCTGCCTTATCACAGATATCAGCACACTTGAACTTGAGTCAGATCTTGCAGCTGATGTAGCCAGAACCAGTTTGACCAAACCCCTACTGAATGCTGGGGTTGGGGATTGGAGCCACCAGGAGAGGAGCATGCAAAGCTCTGCAGATGGTCTGTAGTGGCTGGGCACATGCACACCTCTCCTGCTCATCAGCTTTGTGTGTGTAGAGCGCTTTGTCTCAAAGGCTTTCTTCTTATCTCAAAAATAAACGTAAAGGATTTGTGTTATTAATGGTGGGATTCTTAAGGCTGTCCTGGGCAGGGCCAGTAGTTGGCTCAATGATCCTTATCAGTCCCTTCCAGCTCAGGACAGTCTACAATTCTAAGCCAGGAGAAGGATTCTCAGCATCTTTACTTGCTCTAGAGCTCTGCACTCCCCTCTCCTGCCTCTCCTGGTGTGATCTGTGCTCACACAGCTCTTACTCCTGAGCGCCCTGTTGCTGCTGGGTGCTGTCTCGTGAGCCAGCAGAGGTGGCCCTGTGCTGTGGCTGCCAAGCAAAGCGAGGGTCGCTGTCAGTGCAGCAGTAACGCTGTGCTGCCTGCTCCTGTGTCCTAGTGCCTGTGGTGTGCCAGCAGCAGGAGGTGCATGGAGTACCCCGTCCGAAGAATCCTCCCGCCGGCCGACCTGTGCGAGCTCCGCTCGGCGCGCTGGGGAGTCTGCTGGGGTGAGTGCCAGCCTGGCTGGTGGCTGTGACAGTGCTTGCTGCTGTGGGAGGTTCCCCTGCCTCCCAGCTCTCTGCCAGTGTAGCAGTGACAGGCTGAAGGCAGTCAAGGTTCTGCAAACTTCCTGAAGCGTGGGCGGGGAAGCAGAGTATGAGCAGTTCCCTGCCTTCTGGCAAGTAGGACCTGTGAGGATTTAGCTACTCCCAAATACATCCCTTATGCTTTGGTGTGATGGAGGCTCCAGACATGGCTAGCGCCTGGGAACAGGAGTGGAAGGTTCTCTGTGGGCCTCTGCAGCCCTCCTGGTGTCTGAATCCCAGATCTCTCCTCTGCAGCTGGCAGGTCACTCTGTGCACTGCTTCTGGTTCTTCACGTGGCTGCTGTCCCAGGTGGGCTCCTGGAACCAGAGGTGTGATCACTTCTCTGGGAACCTGTGTGTGCTTCTAGTGCTGAGTGTACCGTGGTCCTGCTCAGCTCTTACCCACCTGAGAAAAAACCTCTTCTAAAACTACCCCTGCACATGCAGGTCTCCTCTGGGAGCTTTCTCTGGTGGGCAGCTGCCTCTCCTCCCTGCTGCTCTGTTTTCTGAAGGATTTCTGGAGAGATTGGTGCCTTGTTTAGACCAAGCTTAGTGCATGTTCATGCTCAGACAGGAGCCAGCTTTTGGGGGCTGGAGAAGGAAGGAAGCAAGCTGGGACCTGGTTGCACTCACCCACCCCCTTGATGAGGAGCCTGGAGCTGAATTGCCGTTGCCTGTTATCTTTTGTGCTTGAGGCTGGGCTCTCTTGTCTGCCCACAAGAGTTCAAACTGCTCTTGTGCTTGTGGAAGAAGAATCTCCTCTTTGTGAGCCCTGTGGTATGCTTTTCTGAAACTTCTGTAAGACCTTGAAGTGCTAGTTTTGATGTGAGTAGCTTCACAAAAGGTTTCCTTATAGAAGATCACATTCCTTAGCTTGCAAAACTCGCTATAGAGAAGATTAGTCCTGTGGGAGATTAGCTCTTATGTGATTCTGCATTTTTGGTGTGTGTGACTTAGCCTCTGTCATCAGCTGGAGGAGTGCCTGGTGCTCTGCCTCAGACCTCTCTGTGTGGGAAGGGGGGAGCTGAACCCCAGGCTCATCCTGAAAGCCCAAAAGGGTTTCAGAAGCACTGACGCTGCTGGAGTCAGCTCAGGCTGGAGTACCTAAAAGAGGATCTCTTTCGAACAGATAAAAGGAAGAAGTTTCTTACAATAAGGGTGATGAGACAGTGGCACAGGTTGCCCAGAGAGCTGCTGAATGCCCATCCCTGGAAACGTTCAAGGTCAGGTTGGATAGGACTGTGAGCAGCCTGGTCTAGTGGAAGATGGAGTTGGACTAAATGACCTTCAAGTGCTCTGAGCAGGTTCAGGTGCACTGAGATTTCTGTAGCCTGGCTGTCGTGTGCAAAGTGGCTCCTAAACAAATATTTCCACAGGCACAATTCTGTGAACAGCCTGAACCACACTTGGAAGAACCTCCTCTTTGTTGTTGCCTGAAATCCTTGGCATGTAGATGTGTCAGTTTTGGCTGGTGTCTCTACTGCCATTACTGCAGGAGCTGAGTGGGATGAGCAGGGACCAGGGCTCACGGCTGCTGCCTCGCCATGTTCCAGCAGGCTTTGTTCTGTGTGTGGGCAAGCAGAGCCCCCCAGCCCTGGGGAGACGTGGCAGTCAGGTGCAGGAAGCAGGACTTGGCCCTCAGCTGCCTGAGCAGCACTGCTGGCCCCAACCTGACAGATTTTTTTTCAGTTTATCTCTTGCCCAAGGACTTCAGATGCCGCTAAGTGCTCATCTCATCAGAGATGTCTTCTGAGGCTGGCTCCCATGGACAGTAATTCCTCCCTGTCAGAGATGATTCCTTAGCCCTGAAGCCTTCAGTTGTTGGGTTTTTTCCCTCAATGGTTACTTTTTACCTGGATTAGTGATTAAGATAGCTTTGCTCCTGTTTCTGCCAGAGGAGTTTGACCTGAGTGCGTTTCTCCCTGCCAGTAACTGAGCGCTCCTGTTAGCAGGGACATGTGCTCAGCTGGTGTTTATTTGTGGGTACCAACACTTGTTATGTCTACATAGGTTTATCTACATTGTTATCCACAGCTAACAATGTCCATTTGCTTTCCCAGGTGGCTGCAAATCTCCAGCCCAGTGACTGAAGCTGCTGGTGACAGTAGCTGTATGTTCATAAACAAGATAAGAGAAAGTGGCTGTAGGATAAGAGGAAATGGCCTCAAATTGCACCAGAGGAGGTTTAGGTTGGATAGTAAGAAAAAGATTCTTCACTCAGAGGGTGGTCAGACAGTGGAACAGGCTGCCCAGGGTAGTGGTAGCATCCCTGGAAGCATTCAAAAAACACAGAGCTGTTGCACCTGGGGACATGTTTACTGGAAGACCTGGCAGTGCTGGGGGAACAGTTGGATTTGATGACCCTTGAGTGCTTTCTCAACATTAATGATCCTGTGATCCTGTATTGTAACCCCAGACAGCTGTGTCTGTGTGTGCTAAACACGTTTTTGTCAAATCCTTCAGTGAACTTTGAAGCCCTGATCATTGCAATGTCCGTGGTGGGAGGAACACTTCTGATCATGTTGGGGGTCTGCTGCTGCTGCTGCTGCTGTTGTAAGAAAAAGAGCAAAAAGTAAGTATTGGGGGGTGCCCTGATTGTGGAGCAGCTCAGATGCAGCCGTGTGCTGCTGCAGGACTGAGTGCTGAGTGCACTAAGGGGTTTTTCTGTCCACCAGGCCAGACAAGGATGACGAGAGAGCAGCCAGGGAGCGGGAGAAGAGGCGGGTTCGGCAGGAGGAGAGGTGAGTTTGTACCACAGACCCTGAGGCTGCAGGATGACTTGGCTGCTGTCTGTGCCATGAAATGTGATGCCAGGAGGCACGTGGGGCTCAGCACATGCAGTCAGTGGCTGCTTCAGCCCTAGCTCACACACAAGCCTCATTAGGAGTGTCACGCCGGGGTGACTCGTGGATGTAGCATCACAAGTTTTGTGTATGCAGCTCCCTGAGGGCTGCTGATGTGTGGGCTCTGGTGGTCCCCAGAGACTCCCTGAGGTGGCAGGCTGAGCAAACCTGCCAGCCTGGAGCTCCCTTGTTTGGGAATAAGCAAGGAGCTCTGGCTCTTCTTGTTCCCTTTTGTACCACCAGTTACTGACTCATGGCTTTTTTGTTTGCCTCTCGCAGGAGAGCAGAGATGAAATCACGGCATGATGAAATCCGAAGAAAATACGGTACAGTGCTGACATGAGTGATTCAAACTAAGCTTTAGATGAAGCAGCCTCTGTAACTGTGCTCCTTGCCATGGTTACAGCTGTAGATGAGACCTGGCCAGCAGGGAAAATATGGTCCCTGCTTCTCTTGGCTCAGAGTAAGTGTAGAGATGCTGGGGTCATGGTGTGTGAGCCCATACAAGGGCTATTTTTCCTGGGCAGGGAAGAGGAAGTGTATAATGTTCTCCAGAATGTGTTCTCCAAGCTTACCACGTGGGAGAAGCTGATGGAGCTTGACTAGAAGGTAGAAGCAGAAGCTGGCAGACACAGCACCATCATAATCCTGTTACCCTTCAGACACAGCCCTCCAGTAATCCTGTGGTGAGCCAGCAGTCTGGGGTGTGGGGCCAAGTAGGAATCAGAATGCCCACAGCTGCAGGAGCACAGAGCAGGCACCAATCCCACCCCAATCCCTCTGCTCCTCTGTGCCAGCAGTGGTGTCTCAGTCCCCTGGGGATGGGAGTGCACAGCCTCCCTCCTGGGGCTGAACTGCCCCTCAGGTGAGTCCCACAGACCTGGGCCAGGTCTGGACCTGCCTGAGGAGAACATCAACTTGGAAGTTGCACTGTCCCTCCAGCCTGCCCCTTGGAGCTGCCGGGGGCTCTGCCAGTGTCTGGCTGTGGAGCACTTGGGCTCATGCATGCTGCACTTGGTGGTCTCTGGCTTTGGAGGGGCTGTAGGGAAAACTAGAGACCTTTCCTCTGCCTGCAGCAGCTGTCCACTACAGGTCCAGATTAGGCGGGAGATTCCAGGGCCTCTGGATGGGCTGGATCCTTTAGGAAAGAGCAAGCAAAGCATTGCCTGAAGGAGCTCTTGGTATGGGAAGCATCTGCCTGTGGAAGAGCTGTGCTCTGGGCCTGTCTTGCAGTGTCAGGGCTGTCTTGCTGCAGCCTGACCCCAGAGTTTGCAATCTTGTCCTTTGTGGCTCTTCTTCAGAAGTGTTGAGCTGGGAAAGCATCAAACAGCATGGCACATGGCTTGTTGCTAGCCCAAAAGTCAGCCCCATACCCTGCCTTGCCATTTCCCAGTCTCGATGCAGGAGCAGGGAAGCAAGTCTAAGAACAGTTTTAATTTAATTTGGGTCTGGGCTCTTTGCTTGTAATCCAGTCTGACAGAAGGGCTGTGTAGAGGGGAGAGGTCTGGAAGATTAGGCAGGCTGCTTTACCTGGACTGTACATGAGCTGCCTGGGAGAGGAGTTTGCCATCAGGTCAAGCTTCTCAATGGATGTCTCCTCTTGTGCAGAAGGGGAGAGTGAAACAGTGCTGACTGTGGGCACTGCTCAAGTAAGAGCAGGTGTTTTGGGAGAACTGCAGCTGGGAGGCTTGAGGATGCTTAAATGACAAAGAGTTATTTCCCAGGACTGGTTTTCTTGCTGGCTGTGACCACTGTGGGAGCTGCTGTCTGAACAAATCTCTTCTCTCTTCTAGGCCTGTTCAAGGAAGAGAACCCTTACGCAAAATTTGAGAATTAGCATCTCCAGACACACCCACCCACCCTGGTGAACAGTGCCTTCTGCAGAGCCAAAAGTCTCCAGGCTTCCCCCCACCACCATGGTGCCACTTCAACTGCCACAGAAGATGACCCAAATCCTTGGTGACACCATTGTCCCCACTCCAGGTGCTTGGTCTGCCCAGACTTTGCTCTTGCCCTGCTGGTGCAAGAAACCGTGGTGGCAATACTGGAGGATGGAGCATTTCTTCTCACTCACCCCAGGGTGGTTGTGGTGTCCAAAGCAATGCACATAACAGTCCTTGTCCCAGCCAAGGGCAAAAGCAATGTCACACATCTCCCTCACTCCTGCCTCACCAAGAACACTTCATGCACACAGAGCTAGCCTCTTCTGCTCTTCTCCCCCCCTTTTTTTTTTCTTTTAGTATACGCAAAAGCCAGCAAGAGTTTCCTGACGTAAGGGCTAGCAGGAGGCTTTGGCTGTCACTCCAGGTGCATGCACTTATCCCAGCACATTAGCAGTCCTCTCAAAGAGCACAAGTTTCTGGTGATCTATGAGAAGGGAAAGTGCTGAGAGGGGTCCTGGTTGTGCCCTGGGCTCCAGACACTTCTGCAGCTCCGTTCCCTCCCCTGGCCACACTCCAGCCCCTCACTGTCTGTCCTGTGATGGGAGCATCTGTTCTGCACACACATGGAGATGCTGAACTTTCCTAGAAACCATAAAATCTCTCCTAGATTTCACTGTTTTGTAGTTTTTTCCGCCAGGTGAGGCATCATATTTATCTGGACATCCTGTCACACTTTCCATAAATAGGAGGGGGCATCAGCTCGTGAGGTCCCCACCCTGTTTGCCTGCTGATATGTTTCAAAAGGCATTTGCTCTGTAAACACCTGCTCCACCCAGTTTCCCTCGATCAATGCAGCTTTTCTCTCTAGGCTTTCCTCTGAAAACCATTTCCACTATTTTCCTGTGGGCAGCAAGCTCTGGCTGAGGCAAAGCTGGGGCTGGACCCAGCCCTTACCACGTCCCACTCCTCGGGGTCAGACACAGCACTCGGCTCCCGCTGGCCATGGAGAGTCCTGAAGACATCCTTGGCCATCCCTAGGTCGAACACAGATTTCCTGGCCCCAGCAGCCTCCTTTCCCACTCTGCTCAGGCTTGTGAGGCCACACCTGCACTGCTGGGGCCAGCCCCGGGCTCCCCAGTGCAGGAGAGATGCAGTGACTCGAGCCAGTCCAGTGCAAGGCCATGAAGGTCTGAAGCATCATTCATGTGAGGAGCAGCTGAGAGAGCTGGAGCTGCTCATGCCAGAGCAGAGCAGTCTTGGAGGGACTTTGAATATGTGTATAAACATTTGATGGGAGGGAATGAAAGCAGGAAACCAGGCTGGTCTCAGTAGTGCCCTGTGACAGGACAGGAGGCAATGGGAGCAAACTAAACTGCATGAAATTCACCCATGGGAGCTGCCCCACAGAATCCCGGGATGGGCCAGGCTGGGAGGGACCACAGTGGTCACCTGGTGCCACCTCCCTGCTCCAGCAGGGCCATCCCAGAGCCCAGGGCACAGGCTGTGTCCAGCCAGCTCTGGGATATCCCCAGTGAGGAGACTCCACACCCTCTCTGGGATCTGTGCAGGGCTCCGTCACTGCCCAGGAAAGTTCTTCCTCGTGTCCAGGTGGAACTGCTGGGCTCAGGCCCTGCCCGTGGCTCTGGAGCCATTGCTGAGCCTGGAGCAGAGCCCGGGCCCAGCTCTGCCCCTCCTGCAGCCAGGGCCAGCCAGGGCTGAGGGTCCCTCTCAGCTGGGGCTCCTCTCCAGCCTGAGCAGCCCCAGCTCCCTCAGCCTTTCCTGGGCACCCAGATGCTCCAGGCCCTTCAGCATTTTTGTCATCCTCCATTGGACCCATTTTGGGTGCTCTAGGTCTCTCTTGTTCTGAACAGCCCAAAACTGCATAAAAAATAATGACAAGGGGAGGCTCATCCCACCTCTGCTGAGGAGAACCCATGGCACCCCATGGTTGGGATACCCACTTCCATTCCTTTTTCTGCAGACAGACCAGCAAGTCCTGCCAGTGGCATGTAACCTGATGTCTTTGATGAAGACAACATGGACAGTCTCAGGAATGGTTCAGATCCTGGATCCTACAAGGCCCTGAGGGATCTGGTCCAATGTCAGTCCCCCTAAAATACAGATGTCCTTCAGCACCCAAGTGCTGCAGCCTCCAGAGGCTTCAAGGCAAAGCCCAGGTTTGTGAGGGATCACTTAATCTCCTGGAGGTCTCTGGCAAGCAAACAAAACCAACCGAAAAGACACAGCAAAGCCTGTTCTCCAGCTGAACAGAGATGTGTTTGGTTGTTCAAAGGCTCTGATAAGGTGACTGAGATTAAAGAACAAATAAAAGTACGATTAGGGCCAAAGTCCCAACTCCAGCCAAAACCATACAGCCAGAGCAACAACGCACTCCTTGCCTAAAACCACATTTATCCAGCTGCTCCTCAGCCTTCCCAGCCAAGAGGAGCTCTGTTCAGTGCTGGCACAGGCTCTGCCTTGTCTCTGGCACATGGTCCCCGGGACAGTGAGGTCCCACACAGCCCAGCAGCCACAGCACTGCTCCTGCACTCAGCTCCCACCACCCAAATTCCCAGCTGGATGCATTTTCTCCCTGAGCATCCTGTCAGAGAGCTGGTAGCCATGGGCATGGCCACTGCAGGCCAGGCTCCCTTCAGTGTCCAGGAGAGCTGTTGGAGTTAATGGGAAATGGGCATGCCTCGCTGTCTGTGCCGAGTGTAAAATTAACTAAAGATCAATTTAGGTGGGTGCTGCTGGAGCGCGCTGCTCGGCGGCGGAAGGGGAGGCCCAGGGCTGATAGATTGGAGAACGACTGGGAGAGCAAACTGCACCTTGCTGATAAAGCAGAGTGCTGGATACCCCAGAGAGAGTCATCCAGAAATTATCATGGGGCAGTCCAGGAACAGGTCTGTCTGGAAACTGGTCTGAAAAGCAAACAGAAAAATGGTTTACTGCAAGTGAGGGGACCTTTCTCAAGTTTCTCTCCATGGGGAGTTTTGTGGGAATAATTGTAGACCCAGGAAACTGGAGTGTCTCAGAACTCAGCTTCCCCAGTCTGTGCCTGCATCTGGGACTGCCAGCTGACTCCTGCTGGGATGGCACACACAGTCCTCATGTCTTTTCATCCCCCTTTAAGATCCAGCAAGCTCCAGGCTGCCAGGGTACAAGTGACAAAGTGACCACAGGTTGGCAGAAAACGACTGAGATAAATCCTTGTTTAAGCAAAGAGCACGTGCAAACACACGAACACAACATAAATATAAAGAGAAAAATTAAATAATTAAATACAGGGGAAAAACACAAGCAATGTGAGCAGGGTCCTTGTGGTCATCTGCAGGGAGGAATGGAACCCAGTCCTACATCAGGCATTAATTCCCTGTCTTATCCCAGGGGCAACAACCTCCTTGCAGGTCCTCAGACTCTGGCTACCTGCAGGAGGCAAAGGGACAAGTGTGGAGTCAGGAGACTCTGGGCTCAGGCATCTGGGCTGCCACTGTGGATGCAGCCAGTGCCTCCCTGGTACTGCCCTGTGGGCTGGCTCCTCGCCCCCTTGTACCAGCCAGGCTTCTTTGGGGTCTGCCCCACCATCACAGCACTGCCAAGGGATCCTTCAAGTCCCTCTGACATGAGTTCATGAGTAGCACTTTAACTCCTGGACCTTCCTAGGATAATTTTAACCCTGGATATGACTTTTCTGTACCTCTCCAGTTTACCTGCTCCAGCTAATGGGTTCACTTAAGCAGCATGGACTCCTTCCTGAGGTTTTTGTTTATTTTGCAGATGTTCAAAGCAAGAAGCCATTTCCAGCAGGCGCTCCATCACCCTCCAGCCCCTGCTAAGGAAACCTCTGCAGGCCATTCCAGACCCAGGAAACTCCCAGATATTGCTCCAGCTGACAAACCCTACAGCAGTTTCATCTTCCCCAGGATCCCAGTCTCTGCTGCTAACAAAGACTCCTCCCTGGCTGCCTGCACCCTCCAGGCTCAGCTGCCTCCCTTTGCCACCACACACGAGGATGTGGGACTCCTCCTTAGCCAAGGAATTGTCCCAGGGACCAACAGTGGCTTTTCTCCTGCTCCTCACTTCTGCAGCATTTTCCTGCCATCCAAGCCCTCTCAGGAGAACAAGGAAGCCCTCTGAGGAGAACAGAGCTCCCCTGCTCCTGCCTGGAAGGTCCTTGCTGGCTGCCACCTTTGCCAGGAGCCCTGTTGTGCCGCCCACCTGCAGGCGGCTGTTCACCCCTCGGGGCTCAGCAGGGAGTGTGGTTGATGGCAAACAGAATCTGCCTTCTGCAAACCCAAACAAAAACCCACACACAGCTCTCTGCTGGGTTGTTCTCATGCTGGAGTGCTCCACATCCAGCAGAAAAAGGAATAAGGTGAGGAGGATGAAGGGAGGCAGATGGCTGGCAGAGGTTACAGCCCTTGTAAACCCCAGGGCTCTCCCTTGCACCACCCACTGCTCTGGCAATTGGTCCAGCCCAGGGCTGGAAATCCAGGTCACAGGTCTGCTCTTCTCCTCACTGGAGGGGCAATCACATTCCCAGGTCTCCTTTCCTCTTCACCAGAGAGGCACCTTCCCACATGCTCCTCTTCACCTCCACCCCAGGTACAAATGCACCAGGGATGGCTGCTCTCTAGGCGCAGCTTGTCCAGCAATCCTGGGGAAAACCCACCAGCAGCTCCCCTGGGCCACGGGCAGGCCAAGCAGGAAAGCCACTGCTTGAGAGTGGCAAGACCTGAGGCCATGTCCTTGCTCATCATCTTGCTCAGGGGACAGGAAGGGACTGGAGCCTTTGGGACCCCAAAACTGCCTTTTGCTGAGGTCAGCAGTGAACGAGCTCACCTCCACCTGAGGAGGTGCCCAGTCCCTCCTACAAGGGCACCTTTGCTTCTTGAGACACAGCTGCAGAAGGTGCATTTACCTGGCTGTGTCCTCACCCCACTCCAGCACCTGTGCGAGGGAGAAGACCACCAGGTGCAGTCTCAGAGGAAAGGCCCTGGGACACTGCTCCTGCCCAGGTCAGTCCAGCACAGCCTCTGTAGGATGCAGGTCTGGGCTAGCAGAAGGATCCCAAGAGAGCTGCAGAGGTGCCTCGGATGCAGCCTCTGGCACAGGAAGCACACAGGCAGTGGAGAGCACACGCCGTGATTCCCATCACCACATTCCTGCAGGAACAAACAGCTTTGCCTCTTGAGTTTTTCCTGCACAGGTGCCTCCAGTTGTGCCCTCGAAGAGGCTGGAGACAGGAATAGAGGATATCTTGGAAACCAGACCTCCATGAGGTCACCATGGACTAATGGGTTTGTCCTTAAGGAAACAAGTGAGCTGAGCAGTGGCAAATCCCACCAGTGACCATCAAGCAAGAGGAAACAACCAAAGAGGAGCAAGACCAAGCCTGTCTGGACACCCTCATGTTGATGAGCCTCTGGATGCTCCCAAGCAAAGGTGTCCCCTGCCCTGCAGCAATAGGATTTTCC